GGAGGGTATATTGTGTAGTACAAGAAAATATACATACCTCCCCCATGGAGGGGGATTGGTATTTCCAAGGGGTGGGGAGTTTCTGAGGAGGGTATGTTGTGTAGTACAAGAAAATATCCATACCTCCCCCATGGAGGGGGATTGGTATTTCCAAGGGGTGGGGAGGGTCTGTGGAGGGTATATTGGAAAATATCCAACTATAATAATGAATGCATATTGGAAAGAAACAAAAGTGGATATTTCATTGGTGCTGAATCATAAAACTATTGTCTGATTTCAGAGTGGCACTGATAGTGTGATATGCTACAAGGGTTCAATAGGTCACTATTCAGTGCATGGTCACAACAAACCAAAAGAAACTAGACCAGTAAGCATTCCTTTTTATGCCTGAATAGCTTTCAATCCATTTCAAACACTTGTCTGAATGGCTTTACTCCAGGCATCCAAGTGGCTTCCTATTCCACCACTTTACAGCCATTCTCAATTACACGCGCCCTCTAGCAATTTTTCTGTTGCAATGAAGAAGGTTTTGGTGGACATCAATGACAAGGCATTTCCATAACATTGTCGGAAAACACAAATCTATAAGGGCACATGCCTATAGAATGTCATGGAAACACCTTGATTGACTTCCACCAGAGGCTTCTTTGTCGCAACAGAAACAATCGCTAGAGCGGCGCGTGTGAATGAGAATGGCTGTATCACTTTCTTGGCCTCCTCTTCTGGTGTCTTCCTTTCCGTCACTTAAATGGCTTCCTACCAGCATGTAAATGGCTTCCGTGTCTGATACTCGGATGGTTTCCCATTCATAACTGCACTCAGATAGTTTCTACTAACCAATCAAAAATGCTTCCACAAATTGTCCATTTATGTTTTTAATCACAGTTCTTGATTATTATAAATTCATAAAATACATCATAGTTAAGATTTAATATAGAAATAAAATTGCCTCTGTTAGTCAATAATAACAGGATATTCATTTAATTCATTATTTTCAATGTTTGTTCTATTTTTCAGACTCCCAAAGGAGTTCAGCCTATTGCAGTTGTTTATTCAGATGGGATTATAAAATGCAGGTATGATAGACCATGCAGTTTGCTTTGACTGTAATCTTTTCCCATACCATACCAGTCCACATCATTCCCTTGAGTATCATTACTTCACCATGGATCGCCCTACACTCCTATTCAACTCAACATATTCAATGTATTATGTAATTAGCTTCAAAAGACTTAAAGCGCCTACAGAGTACATGAAATACAACCTGCATGACAAGCTGTACTTGATATTTGCAAGGGGAAAAGTGAAAGGTCAGATTTTAAAAAGACAGTTCAGTATTTTATTTACCATATATGTAATTGTTGAAGCAAGGGTTTACTGCTGTGGTTGTAGTTTTCATGCTTCCTAGTGTCACATGTGTAGAGTAGAGTTGTTGGTTCTCTATGAGTTCTCTGGCTTACCTCCCTCCAGGTCACCTGTACTTGACAAACTCCTATAGACCCGTATTGAATTCCAAATTACCGCTGTGTTTCTTGATTACAGACTTATTTGCACAGGGTTAGCCTCGAGTTTGTACAGAATATTCACGTGTGCCAGTCAAGGTCCGTCAAGTTTCCAAGTGTTCGTATTGTTGAAGTTGTGCACTCTTTACTTTACTGTTGGTATTTGTGAATATTTTTACACTGATACGAGGCTAACCCTGTGCAAATGAGTCTGTAATCAAGAAACACAGCAGTAATTTGGAATTCGAAACGGGTCTATTTAGTTGATGTAATATCTTCTAACTATAGGTTTAGGTTTTTACCAGCTCAATACATTTGGATTAATTTTTTGAATGTATTATCAATAGATAATGATATCGAAGTACATGACTGGAAGGACAGGTCTTATCGCATGGTTAATGTATCATTGACGCTGGAAGTACAAGGAATGGATTATGTGTTGTTAATAACTCATGGTAAGGAATAGAATGCAGATTCATAGCTATTTCAAAAGATGTCGAAGGGGTGACAGAGAATGGTGATCGATGTGATTGGCAATTGCATGACCGAAAGGCACAGTCGGCATGCATCTAAACACGAATAACCAAGTTGTTTAAGATAGTTTTGTCTACAAACAACACTAAATATCTCAACAATAACATCTGTGTTATTGACAAGAAAAATAAGAAATACCAGTCATTCGAGCTATTCTTGAATCTTGGAATTACCCAACTCCTATGACCTCTTATCCCTTCATTGTCGCCTATCGCTTATTACCTATCTCCATCCCTACCTTTGACCTTTTTGGAAATAGCTGAATATCACTAGAGGGGGAAAGCAGGGATACTTCTTAACTAGATCTTGTAGCTGTGTGATGCTTGTCTGTGTTCTTTCAGCATGTTTGATGTTCATGGCATGGATTGGTTTTGGTGTGATTGGAATGTTTACTGCTCGCTACATGAGACAATCCTGGGGAGAAAAGAGAGTGCTTAACGATAGTTTGTGGTTCCAGGTAAGTTTGTTTTTTCATTTTTTCCTTCTTTTCTTTCTTTTGTTCCTTTTTCATTCCGCATGATGAAGGGCAAAAATAAAATGTCTGTCGATCATGTATGAGAAAACTGAATCATAACTACAATTAGTAAAAATGATTGCAGTACATGGGGCTGAGTTTATGGCTGTAAGATGAAGAACAGCATTCCAGTGCTTGGAATACCTGTGTTCCCACTAGCTATGATCACAATTTCTCCCCTTGGGCTCCCTGTGTTCTAACTAGGTAGTGTCCAGTGTACTGATGTTATCATCTGTTAACTGATTTTAGATTCATCGTGGGTGTATGTTAATGGCAGTCTTGTTGACAATCATCAGTGCGATCATCATATTTGTCCATGTGGGAGGCTGGTCAGAGGTACGTAGGATAGTTCTTCTCTCTTTATGGTTGTCGTTTCATGCTTATTTTTTGTCATCTTTTCTGATCTAGAGTGCAGGTTGGCATGCTGTCATTGGAATCTTTATCATTGCTATTTCTATTGCTCAGCCGTGCCTTGCATTTTTTCGTCCTGGACCTCATGCCGAGTCGTAAGTCTTTTTCTACAACACTCGTTAACTGTCATCATGTTTTATTGTGTCTTTTGATTGTTCAATGTTACTTTATGTATCTTTCATGTCTTTCCAGGCGTTTTATGTTCACCTGGGCTCATCGATTCCTTGCATTGTGTGGGCTTGGTCTGGCAGGTAAGTATCTAAAAACATTTTAGTTTTTACTGCGTTTCTTTCTTTTCATTTCCCCCACTCCTTTGCCTTTCTCTGCCTTTTTTTCCCATTATTTCCCATTTTTCTCCTTTTCTTTTGTTTTCTTCCTTTTCTCTCCTATCGTTCCTTTTCCTATCTCTTTTTCCTTTAATCTTATTCAATTTCTTTCCTGTTTTTTTTCCTTTTTCCTTTCTTTCCATGCTTTCCTTTCATTTTCCTTTCCTTCCCTTCCCTTTGCTCCCTCCCAGCAAGGACCATCATGCTACTCAACTGTCACACAAGACGCGTGACATCCGTTACAAACTAACGCAAACTTACATTACCAGTGATCAACTGTTTCCTGGGAGTGAGTATGCTGGACAAACTGAAGACACAAGGCTTCGCTATCCTGTCAGTCTTCTTCGTCTTCTTCCTCCTCACCGTCATCCTGTACGAAGTCTTCTTGTTCCGAAACAAGAAACCGTTGCTCGCTCCGTTCACGGTAAATGTTGATCCTCAGGACAATGTTGGCATGGAAATACCCTCCCCGACATCAGAGGACACGGCACAAACCAAGGTTAGTTAACGGGGTTACTATGGCAATGATGACCTTTACATAGATTACCATGGCAACGTACCCAATCTAGATAAAGACGCTAATGCTAATAATATTATACAACTGATTTTATTAATAATACTAATACTATAAATAAAACGGCTACTCTAATTTTTATGAAAGAAAGTTTTTCTTGCTACGTACTCTGCTCCATAAAACTTCTCCCGTGTTCTGCCAATCCCCGCGTGCTTTATTACCGCACACAGCGCGCGCACGTGTTTCCTAATTATTCAATAATAAGAATATTGTGAGTTAAGGATAGCGGTGACAAGAAGAAAGGGTGTAAAGATTAATCCAACTTCACTAACCCCAATACTGAGATATCATAACAACAATTCGAGCTTGTGATTATTAGGAAGGCAGTGGTGATGTTGATCTCCATGACAACAAACCAACACCTGCTGCTGCTGCCGTTGAAGATGCAACTAAAACCGAGGTTGGTGAAAATAAACATTTCATCAGTTATCATGCCTGACCTGGTATTCATCGCGCTTATTATAGCCAGGCAACTGTTATAATCTTCGTAACTTTAACCCATAACTGTAATCTTTTCTCACTTTGTAACTGTATTAGTAAGAACAGTTTTCTTTTGAGAGTGAATCGATACAGCAAATTCATGTAATGTAGCCATATCGTATCGTATAGGAGTAACTACACGTTTTGATTGGATGAAGCATGGATGAAGTAAGTCAGTACCGTATGACTCTCACTCATACGATAAATATTCTTATGGGAAGCCATTTCAATGTTACGGCATGTCGTACCGTATACGTGCTGTAAGTCAGTATCTTATGTTTTTCCAAGCCAAGTTATATCTTTTATATTGTTTTTCTTTTATTTGACAGCGTGCAGAGGTTATTCGTAATGTTGTGTACATGTTTATCATCGTGTTGGCCTTTGTTTGCTGTTTGGCTTTCGTCATCGACATTGGTACTTCTTAATGTGCTACTGAAAAAGGTATAAATCCGCTGTCATTTTTTCATACCTCTCTTCCTTTCTCCGTCCTCCCTATTTCCATTATCATCCTTTTTCGATTTTTACTGAACTTTTTATTTTTATCTTTTAACGAAACAGATCAAACCGGTTAGTGAACTAGGTAATGACAGACTGATTGATGTGACGCAGACCTCCGATTGTAACTGGCCTGACAACGTAGACTAAATATGAACTAGCTCTTTGGTAGCTGTCAAGAACACTCAAAGAAAAGTTCGTTCAACTCTCGCATTGTATCTGTAAGTTTAGTGGTTTGTTGTTTCTCATAGGGGATTTCTCATCATAGTCTCAAACAGAAAAATGGCTGCCATTATTGGTTGATGTAACAAGAGACGCATCACAATTCTAACGGCATTCAACCGATATGGTAGCTATAGCAACTGACAGATACCTGACATTATACAGGGGACCCAGGTACTACCACTTCGTTATTCACTAGAACTGTTTTTTAGAGCTTAGAAACTACTAACCGTCCGAAAGATCTTAGCCTGTGTCATATCCGGAATTTTCTTCGTAGGAATAGCTCTCTAAATACGAAGAAAATTCCGGATGTGACGCAGGCTAGAAAGATCTCTTTGAACGACTATTTTACTTAGGAGTGCGCGCACTGACATGTATAACGTATATTCTGGTTTATAGATCATGAAGAAACGTAGTTTATTATATCAAGTATATGACTGAGTCCAATAAATAATAGACTTGTGAATTTATAGGATGATGAATAATGAAAAAGATTGAAATTCTATAGAAATAAAATTTCTATTACTATTAACAGGTTGGTGGTAGGTTTCACTGAGTCAATCCTGAAGGGAATGGTTGTTTAAAAAATGATTTAAACTTGTGTGGATGTTAAAGCAACAAATCATATATCGTCAGTCCCATGAGGCAAAATACTCTATTTATTTATTTGAATAAATTACAACCTATCACAACAAAAATCAAAAACAAAACCGCATTACTAACAAGTCATACATACAGTTTCTACAAGCTTGTCTGGGGCATAGCTTGAGCAAAGTCATTAAATTAACATCGATTCACCCTACTGTACAAACTCGGCCATCAATTACCATGTCATTTCGATCTACTGCGCAAAATCAGCCATCAGTTGCTATGCCAACCATTTTGATCTACTGCGCAAACTCGGCCATCACTTGCCATGCCAACCATTTTGATCTACTGCGCAAATTCGACATCAGTTGCCATGTCAACCATTTCAATCTACTGTACAAACTTGGTCATTAGTTACCATGTCAACCAAATGAGCTTACTGCGCAAACTCCGCCATCATCTGTCTTGCCAACCAATCTAATCCTTCGTGCAATCCACTTAACGAATGCGCGCTGCAAGGCATGATGGTCCAGCTTCGACCGCAGCATATTTTGTGTAAAGAGAGTCGTTCTGTAAGAACTTCGACACTCAGGGATGAAGGCAGGTCCTGAAACATGAAGAATGCGTAGATAAACGAAATATTGAAAAAAATCATAGTTGGCAGCACCAATTTTTTTAAAGCAAAAGCTACTAAGGCAGCGGGTGATGAAATCTTTTTGCCAGGATTATGTTATGGTTTGATGAAGGATTCAGCTTACCTGTTTGTTGGCCAGGATCAGTAACAGCGCATCTCGTAGGCGTTTTTCTGCCATAAGTTTGGACAGTTCATCTTGAGACTCTGATAACCGCTCAACGTTGCTGCTGTCAATCACGAAGATCACCGCTGAAAAGGAGAAACAGTTAAAGGAAACAATCTAGCACGCGAGATCAATGCTCATCCAATCAGAATGCTTGGATATGGCAAAGTTACGAGCATGGCACAGCAGTCGTACTGCGCGCATTTATCACATTTATGAGAAGTGAGTTGTGATACATACCTTGTGTATTCAGGTAATAATGCCTCCACAATGGACGCAGTTTCTGTAAGCCTCCGACATCCCAAATAGTGAACTTAAGACTTTTGTGTTCTACCGACTCGACATTGAATCCTAAATACATAAAATACAGGATAAGAAAAGTTGGGGAAGGATTATCATGTCATACTGGTCGAAATCCAAAACACCAGTCAAATCCCGTCACGCAAGGCCAATGTCATGTCACTCACTCCAGTCAAGCCACGTTATAGTTAAAGGTTAAGGCACGTAAGTCAAAAGTGCAGTCACGCAAGTCAAAGGCCAAGTCACAAGTCAAAGGTGAAGTCAGGCAAATCAGATCCAAAAGTCACCTGGTCAAAAAGTCAATCCAATCAATCAAGTGTCACGCCGCGTAAGCCAATGTCACGTCACTCTTTCAAGTTACCTCACATTCGTCAAGCAAAATGTTACATCACATCAGTCAAAGGTCAAAAGTCAGTCCACTCAATCAAATGTGTAATCCTTACCAATAGTAGTTATGGGCGACACAAACTCATCTTGTTTTAGCTTAAATAATATCGATGTTTTTCCAGCTCCATCCAGTCCAAGAGCTACAGCTCTCATTTCCATCTTGGGACCGATATGAACCCTGTTGTCCTTCGTAAAGGCCACAGGTATCCCAGAATCTGCGTTACATAGCTGCGCGATGTCGATGAACTGTTGTTGTTGCTCTTGGACAGTTTCTAGTAGACTGTGGACGTTATTTCGAGCTTGAATGACCTACAAAATAAAAGCAAAGAATAAATATTTTAGCTAAGGAAAGTCGGAAGAGAAAATGAACAAGAACTTAACACACCAACATAGCGTATTGTACTTGCCTCTGCGTCGGTTCTCTGCAGGGATTTTTCACATTCTAAACAAACTGAGTTCACTTGAGCTATTAACACAGCCATGTCTTCCTGCTGTTGTCGTAAAGAGAAGAGCTTCTCTCTGACGTAGTTGTCTACAACGGCCAGTCCTGCTTCTTCTTGTCGGTTGACTGTTTCACGCAGATCATCAAAGAATGACCGTACCCTTGCTCGAGCTTCTTCTGCTGTGCCTTGATTGTGCTGTTGGACCAGATCTCCTTGATCGTCTTCTTGTATAACAGCACCTCCTAATGATGTTATAATGCATGTCATACAATAATCACTATAGTATAATCGTTATCATTCATCATCATCACCATCATAAACCATCAACATCCATCACCTTGTTCATTCCCATGAATCAATACCATCATTAACATAATCCATCCATCCATCAATATCCATCACCATCATCCATCATCATCATCAGCTGTAGCCTGATCATCATCAGCTGTAGTATCATCATCATCACTATCATCACCAACACCATCACCACTATCATCATCATCAGCTGTAGCATCATCATCATCATCGTCCACATCACCATCACCATCATAACCTACACCACAACCATCATGATCAGCAGTAGCATCATCATCATCATCAGCTGTAGCATCATCCTCATCATCACCATCAGCTATATCATGATCATTATCGTCACCATCATCATCATCACCAACATTACCATCATTTATACCTACATCACCATTATTTTTACCTATATCAACTTCATCATCATCATAACCTGTTTAATGCATCATTAAGATCAAGTACACATACCTTCGATGGTTTCAATTACTGAAGCAAGCTTCTTGGATGCTTCGGTGACTTCAGTTGTAAATGTCCTGACATGCTGAATAGCATTAGTGACTGACGACCTCATGTTCTCGGCTTCTGTCTCTAGTAATGCATGCTTGTGATTCTGGTGCCTGTCACAATGATGTCATACAATAATCACATGACTCAACCAAGCATTGTGATTGGATGGTTTGTTTACCACAGGGACCCCAATTATCTAAAATGGCCTCCCTCTGGTATAGCCACAAATGCACAAATTACTGTCCCAACTCTTTGATTGGGAACCCTGTGACATAAAATTTTGAGTCCTTAACCACAGGTAGCTCATTAGAGATGTTTGAGTTTGTCCCTCTTGCTGACTTTTTAATATTAGTTAAAAATAAATAATTAGCAGTGGCTATTCGTACAGCAGCTGTACGCCGACTCATATTTGCTATACGTATGGCAGTGGGACTTTAAAATCTTTTGAGGATTTTGGTTCTCCTCTCTTAGAAAAAAAATCAAATGAAGACACCAAAAATCGAAACCCTAACCCTAAACCTAACCCTAAACCTAACCCTAAACCTAACCCTAAACCTAATCCTAAACCTAACCACTAGACCACGAATTTATATTTAAATGATGTATCATCAGCACATGCACATAAATATTTATCATAGCTTAATTTAATGCTATTTTTGACTGCCGTACGAATAGCAAATACGAGTCGGCATACGGCTAAATAATTATGATTGCTTGCTCATGAAGTGGTTTTGATATCTTACCTTCCATAATCTTTGCAAACAAAGCACATCAAAGAACTCTCTCTGCAATCCTCTTCCAGACATGTGAACTCAATAACATGAGTAGAATGAAGAGGGCATTTGGGTTTCTCCTTTGGTTTCTCTGATAATGGTATTCTTTTGTGTCTTGTTAATGTCTTGGTAGAATGAATACTCTCTGAACACAATGAGCATAGATCTGTACAACACACAGTACAATAAACACTTGCTCTGTGATCCTCATTCTCATCACACCTGACACAGCCATCCTTCAGTTCCTCCTCAGACACCTTTGATGGAGCAGTTGATACTTGTAACTTTTCCAACAGCTCGATTAAAGCGAAATTCTTCTTAAGTCCCCATACACCAGAGTCGCTTAGTACAGTAGCCTGTCTGTCAAATGGACACTGTAATGTCCGTCCATGGACAGGCAGTCGTGTGAGACAGTCATGACAAACGGTGTGGCCACAGATAAGAAGCCTTGGAACTTTATCTCCTTGGAGTTGGAAAATGTCTTCACAAACTCGGCATTCCAAAACCTGGTGGAGCAAATGCAGAAATATCAAGAATCATATATCCCTTATCCGAATCTTTTTGCAAATTATATTAATTCAACCGCAGGCCAAGTTCACTTCGTATTTAATTTAAATTTCTACAGAACACAAAGTTCCGTCTTCACATTGCAGTATTTTCTACATCTACGAGCTTAAGGAATACAAAATTAAATAATAAAACGACGTTAATCACTTGTCATACGTGTTTATTATATGATAAAACGAATTCATCTTCGTCACAAGTAGATTATCTCGCTAAACGTGGTAAAACATCGTAAAACATGTCTATGTTGTTCACCCAAAGCGGAATATTTTTCAGTCGAATTCAAGTACAATATGAAGCAATCAAGTCAAATATCGATTGGATTACAATATGAATAAGACATTTGACAGATAAAGTAACGAATTAATGATCTCAATTTACTATAAAAATTTTTAAAAATCTAATAAAATGTAAACATTGTACAAGCTTACTCACATTTGATGGACGAGATTTAGAGGCAGCTACAGAATCATCCATTCTCGATGCCATTTCTTCACTCATACCTCAATTACCAAGTACACAAAGATCATTATAAAATCATATCCATTAGAGAAATCTAGAAATACTAATCGAGTGAAAATAAATATGAAAAATTATGCTATTTTTGTTCGGTTTTTTTGTTGGAAACTCAGCCTGTGCCCGCAATGTAAACAAGAGTGTACAGTTGTGTTGTGTTAAATAGATGCTCAGACTGCTTATGCGCATATATTAAGAGGATAAACATCTGTGTTCAAAGGTAACAGGCTCATTTCTTCTTCATCAAAACAAAATGGACTCCGGGTTGAGAGAGAGGGAACATTTGTTGGCCTTGAAAGGTAACATAGATACGTCTACTCTATCTTTACTGCGTAGAAAAACACTTTGGTGTTATTCATAGTTTTATCCAAATATGTCTTGATGCTGAATCTATTGCAGTAGACTTGTTCTAGTTGAAGGAAACCTGCAAATCAAAAGAGAAAAATATATGAAAGAAAATTTAATTTCAGATCTACGTGAGGAGGGGGGTGGGGTGCTGCAAAGGAAGGGGTTTGACAGTAAATATCAAGCATGTAACTGTGGCCTGAAGGCCCTATATGCCATGGGGTGCAAGGAGGATAGGTAACAGGTAACTGCGGCCACCTAAAATCCACAATAAATTCAAATAAATCTGTTTTATAGTAAACATGATACATTGTTGTCTAGCTTAGGTACCAATATCTTTTGTTCACCTTATGCCATATGGTGTTGTTTGTACCCTAGCTAGACCAGAATGCATCCTGCTTATCATACTTAGCATTGGCATATGGTGATTTAATTTCCTTACTGCAGTTTTCGATATTCTGCGAACTCTGACATTGTGAAATAACTTTTTTACTGCTGCCAGTCAAGAACATTAAAGGTACCGACTGATTATTTTTGATTGATGGCAGCGAAAAACCAAATTTCAGTGTACTGCTTTTAAATACCGAATTCACAGAATATAGATAGCTGTAGTTATCTTTTAAGAAAGCCATGTCATTAATATTTGATTTGATACATGTATTTGTGATTTCTAGTGATGAGGTTGACCAAACCCTCTATGTACACCAATGTACCTGTCCACTGTGAAGCTCAAGACCTTCCAGGAACAATATTCAAAGAGTCTCATGATGCCGACATTGCAACCATTAAGGGAGTTTATAACTTTGGACTTGGGGATTTGTTAGTATTACCACAAACATTTGGGTAAGTACCTACATTACAAAAGCTTTCGTTTATATATCTTATTTAATGCTTTCCTATTTCAAATCACTTTAAATTCTCTCAAGAATAAGATTCTATGTTTGAGTCGTGTCCTTATTTGTATGTGTCTTCTCATGCGCAACCATTAAACAAAGAAATGAATGGGAAAATAAATCATAATGATTATAATAACTTTTATGCCACTTATATCCTCGCAGCTATCTTGAAGGTGTATCTATAGATAAATTTTTTGCCTTTTTTTAACAGGAACATATTTTTGGGTGAGACATTTTCAAGTTATGTTAGTGTTCATAATGACAGCAATCAGACAGTCAAAGACATTGTAATCAAGGTAAGTGAAGTATTGTAGCTGGAAGCAAATGCACAGTGTTATTGGGTTTACTGGGAAGCCATTTCAGTGTAAATGTGACATTGGGAAAAAGATGGAAGCCATTAAAGCATTTATAGAATTCTATACTGTAGTGATGGAGACAGTATACTGTAAATATCCTGTTTACCATAAAAATATGTTGAATAAATAATAAAAATAATAATGATGACGGGGAGAGAGATGATGATGATAATGATGATGATGATGATGATGACAATCACAACAATGATGATAATAATGATGATGATAATGATGCTAATAATGATGGTGATGGTGAAGATGATGAGGATATATTGCAATGTTAAGTGAATTCATTTGTCTTGTTTAGACTGACCTCCAGACATCTTCCCAGCGGCTGACACTGTCAGGTGCTGCAAACATGCCTGTTGCCAAACTAGACACCCAGCAGAGCTATGATCAAGTGATACACCATGAAGTCAAAGAATTAGGAACTCATATGTGAGTAAAAGTCTTGTCAATCATCAATTAATGAGCTAGACTGACCTGGTTGGTTTGGTTGGTTTATCTGGGACCATATAACCACAAACCTATACCCTATAAATGGCAACTAAGGACCCTGTAATTATAAAATAGTGGTAGAAAATTAAGTGTCCTTCAAAACTGTTTTGTTTTGAGTGACAAAAATAAGAACTAAACCTCACCACAATCTGTATCTGCCCATGCTAGCATCCTAACCATTTTCAGAAACCCAGGGTAAAATTCTGTCCTCTGTATTCTCAAGGTGTTCTCGGACAAAATACCAAAATTTAAAACCTTTTCTTTTCAAATGTTCATGTTTGTAGACTGGTTTGCGCTGTCAGCTATTCCACAAATGCTGGGGAGAAAATGTACTTCAGAAAATTCTTCAAGTTTCAGGTAACTACAAAACCCTCATCTGTAGTTGATGGTGGTTTTGATAATCCAGCTTTGGTTTTTAATCCACTTCTTTTGTTTCTTTTTTACAGGTTTTGAAGCCACTTGATGTCAAGACAAAATTCTATAATGGAGAGGTAAGGGTATGACCGTTTTAACAGTTTTTTACAAGTTGGGGAGAGTCTGAGGGAAAAAAAAAATCACTTTTATTTAAGTGTCTAGTCGTTCTAACGCTTTTGCACTCACACGCTTTCACGCTCACACGCACTACCACTACATTTAATATTCTATGCACACATTACTCAACTCACATGTTGATTTTTATGGAGGGAGGAAACTGGAGAACCCGGAGAAAACCCTCATAGCATAGGAGAGAACAACACATCAAACAAACTCAATTCACATGTGGCGACTGCAGGGCTCGAACCAGCGACCTGACCCATTGGACTCACAGCAGTGAAAGACAACGAGTTAGCCCCAAATGCCACCCATGCCACCCAGGACTCAGTGTATATTGTAGAGATACTTCACCCAAGGAGAAGGGGGAATAGAATATCCAAGGGGTGGCTTTTGGAGTGTTCCTTAGTGGAAATGGTATTACAAGAACCGATAAATTGATATTGTATTGTGATGTTGTAGGATGATACTGTCTTCCTAGAAGCACAGGTTCAAAACATCACATCCAGTCCAATGGTCATGGAGTCTGTACGTCTGGAACCCTCGCAGATATACACTGTAATAGACCTGAACTCTGTCAGTGATGACAGTAATAAACTTAACAGGTTTAGTAGTTCTCTATTTATAAAGCATTATTTCAAAGAGTCATGCTATCTGTTCAATATCCTCTCAGCATAAGCCTCTCTTTCTAAAAGGCTCCGTGCACTAGGAGATTATAAGGCTATCACTTATTGCAAGACAAGTTGGCTAACATTACTTACTCTAAACCTACTAATGATGGTCTATAAAAAATCCTGTGCTCTGATTGGCTGAGCTATTAGTGGTCTATTAGTGATAGAGCTCCTGCCCTCATGGCCTATGAGTCATTAGCCCATTTGGCCTTGCAGATCTAAGGGGTGGTTTGGGTGGAACCAATAGAGGAAGCTATATACTGCTGGCTTTCTAGGTAACAGTCATCCCCCTTGAAACCATTCTGGATCTGACACTGATATCAGATTTTAGAAGATAAGAAACACAGGAATCACAAAAAGTAATTTACTTTATAGCATAGCAGAGAAAGGTAAATATTGTAATGACTGCTTTTTTTAACAGCGAGGAAGCACCAACAGAGAATGTTTTTGGTCGTGGATCATTTTTACATCCCAATGATACAAGACAGTATTTATACATGTTGAGAACCAAACCATCTTACGAAAGGAACCATAAGGTAGGTTACACTGATCAGTTGAAACAATCAAAATGTACAGTGTTACTGCTTGTCCAATCAGAACATAGGACATGGGTCTAGTGGAGTATGGTGTACAATCACACTAGTCTCACACACTTTCATCCAACAAAACCTTCAATCCTTATACTTAATCCTTATATTAACGTTATCAAGATCTATTGAATGTACTATTTATAAAAACTTTGTAAATTTTATTTATTAACTTTTTGATAATATGTATACACATGGATAAATAGGTGTAATGGTACAAATTAATGAAAAAATCTAAAATCTAAAAAAAATCAACATGCAACAAAACTTCCACCAGTCTTTTTGAAATGTTGTAGCTATATTTCATCTTGCGTTTGTTTTTTCAGTCTGCTTCGATGGTTGGGAAGCTAGATATTGTTTGGAGAACAGGATTTGGTGAGCGAGGAAGATTACAAACAAGCCATCTGACTAGAGTGGTGAGAACAAACATCTCACTTCCAATAAGAATTACAGGCACTAGTGGACCTCTTTAACTTGGGCATAATGTTTTGCCATTTCAGACCATGTGTCATTCTCTTGAGAATAAAATTCTTTGTTTGAGTTGTATCCATATTCATGTATTTTCTCATGTGCAAATGTTAAACAAAGAAATGATACTCTAGGGAATGACACCTGGTCTAAAATGAGAAAACATTAAGCCAAGGTAGAAACCGAGGTGTACAGGCGTATTGTAGCTTTTTTCCACTTGGTCTTACAGCCACTTCTTGCCTTCTCCCTTGAATCACCAGCCATTTTTAGCTTCTATTTATCTTTTATTATATACCCACTCACTCTACAAATGCACCAATAGTTATATATGCTTTCTTGTTTCTTGATTTCAGACACAGATCCCTACAGATATAAAACTAACCGTGTCCAGAATACCTGATACAGTTCCTGTAGAAACTAGATTCCCTGTCGAGTTTAAACTAAAGAATACTTGGTAAGTATCATCATTAATTTTGTCCTGGTATCATGTCCTGGTCTCTTAATAACCTACCTCAAACCCTTGAGTGGCAATCTGTTGTTAATTGATGTAATTTTTTTATAGTGAGCGCAAAATGGATCTTCGATTACTGATGACAAAAAGCAAGGATGGAGCCATGATGTGGTGCGGCACGTCTGGAAGGGTAAATATATCTATCACAGGTGGTCATTGTTGTTAGTATTGTTTGATATTGATTGTTACAGATTTTTTTTTCAATGATCAATTAACATTTTGTTGCTATGGTGGCAGAATATCGGTGTACTCGTCCCTGGCTCTCACTTGGATCTCAAACTTCACCTTCTTCCACTGTCAGCTGGTTTACAGGTAAGTCTTTGATCAAGATTGACAAATCTTCTATAGCAAATGCAAACGTAGGCGATCCGTGGTCTCAAAAACTGGATGAGATGAGGACTCACGTGTTGATAATGACTTAACATTAGGTAATGCAGAATTTAACCTTAACGGCCCTGCCGAAAAGAGAGGTTACTTCTTAATCTTCTGGATCAGAGAAGGAAGCGTTAATGCGCGTGTGCAATTTGGCGACTTTGTTGAATGCCTCTCCAGTCAAAAAACAGTCGCTACAGTCGAGTTTTTCTCTTTTTCCTTTTTTTTTTTTATTTTTATTTTTATTTTGTCATTCTCAATAGATATTAAAAATATCTCCGTCGCTCTAAATTATCTTTAACGATAAGAAAATAAGACATCAATTTTGATTCTCATCTCAAGTTTTCAAGACGCATCCTACATGGAAAGGAGTGACTATGCATGCTAAACCATGAATGACGAAGTCCATATATTGGGTCTGCTGGTCATAGCAAGGGGTTAATCATCTATGGTCTAGGGGCCGACTAACCACTCCCTTAGGCTTCGGCCGAGCTCCCTGATCAGTCTGTAAATCCAGGGATAGCGGTTTCGGGGTCGAAATCTCCGGCGTAGCCGTAAATGCTTCGCGCTGCCATACGACGGTTCAGAACTCGATGTCTGGAAGTATGGTCCTATATTTATTAATAAAAATAAAAAAAGGTCCAAAAGATAGTCTTCCTAGCAGACCTTTGAACATCAGTTTTTGGAAAGACAAGAAAATTTTTAAGTATCTTGCGAGTTTAAGGGGCTGTCTGAGAATTTCGTCGGTCTACCTGGGTTACCAGTCATTCTATGGATCATTTCCCCTCAACATATCATTTCCTTCAGAGGCAGAAAATAAAAAAGTGGGTCACACTCTACGATCATTCAATCCTTGACTGAATTATCAAGGTTCGTCTCATTAGAAATTGTTTTTATTCTTTGTTATTTCAGAGTGTCAGTGGTCTAAGAGTGCTGGATAATCTCTCAGGACGTACGTACGAGTTCGACAACATCACTTCTGTTTTCGTTTATTCATGTGATCAATCTCCATTCACTTCCAACAATCTTGTTTCACAAACAATTGAATAATATTATTATCTAGTAGTAAAAAATTATCATTACAAAATAGATATTCTATCAGTGTATTATATGAAAGATTCTTACTCTATCTTGGCTGTTTTATGAAAATATTTTTTATCTTTCTCTTGCATCTGGGTCCGTTTGATGCCACTTGCAGCTAGTAATAAGCGTCGATTTAAATCATTATTATGCTTGCCGCTTGGCTTGAAGTCTGGTCTACTCGTTAGTAAGTAGATGTCAGGTCACTCATCACCAGTTTGTTTTTGACATTAAAAATTCATTTTACCAGTAGGTTTATTGGCGTTACTAACAAATTTTATTTAAATTATTTTTCCTGGTTTTGAATGTTTTTTCTCCTAAAGAATGTTATGAAGTGTTCAGAAAACAAATTGGAATATTCAAATTTAGTCAGTGATTATGCTTGCGTCTAACGTAGTGAATGAACAATATCATTGGCTCTATCAATGCCGGTTAAGTAGCCACCATGAAGATAGCCATTGTACAACTCATGGGTTGCTTCTCCAGAAAAATAAATGCTTTGAACATTCTTTTGAAGCATCTCGTAATCTTGACTTGACATCCCGATAGGAACATTAGCCCAAGATCCATAAAACAGCTCATCTTTTCCCCATTGTGAAACGTATATTCCCATCAAATCAGGAATATCAATTCCATATACTTTCCTAAGAACAGACATAATTTCTTGTCTAGTTCTGTTTAGACTTTGATATTCAAGTCTTTCTGCTTCCTCCTGTGTCACCGTCAGTAAAAGGATATTCGTTCCTTTAGGAAGTCGTGAATCTGCTTGTAAGTGTAACCGGCGGCAAGGCGCTCAGCTATGAATCAGATTGCAAGTGGTTTTGACAAAAGAATTTATTGAAAAATTCACACAACTTTACAATACATGAAGAAAAAAAACGGGAACGAGATTACAGGATATCTCT